GGGGCGGGGAATTGCTGAATTCCAGGCAACAGGGGTGGCTGTTACTTTAAGGAAGAAGAACTAAGACCGGAAGAACCGAGCCTAATCGTTTCTGGTTTTCGTTTAATTTTCAGACATTTCCCATATAGATACCAGTTTTTCAGCATCATTTAATTGAGAAGACCACCTTTTCCCACTAATCTGTAGTTTTCCCTCAAGCATTTTGTCGTTTCTGTCAAGTGAAGGCCTAGTTCTGGGATCTGTTCTGCCCCATTTGCCACTCGCTCTGCTGCCATTCTGCCTCGATTGCGGTAACTTTATTCCATTTTCATATCTGATAAAATATGAAAGTTTTTATGTTGTTTTTCAGGGCTATTTTAGCTGTTCTTGGCTCTTTTACTTGCATATAGGTTTTTTTTTAAGCTTTATTTTGGTAAATTGTATATACCATTTGAATTATACTGAATTTTAGCAAACTTACAAAGTTGTGCAGCCATCACCACGATTACATTTTGTATTTCCATCCCCACGCTTAGCCATTGGCAGTCACTTCCTGACTGCAACCACCGGTCTCCTTTCTGTCTACACAGAGCCGCCTTTTCGGAGCGTTCCATACACATTTCATTATGCAGCCTTTGGCTTCAGGCTTCTTCATGTACTATCATGTTTTAGAGGTTCACCGTGCTGTACTTTGTATTGTGTGACTTACACCACGTTTTATCTTACCATTTTTCATTTGCTGGATCTTTGGCATGTTTTACATGTTAGCTACTATGAAATGCCGTTAAACATTTATATGTACATTTTTATGCAGATGTTTTTTAGTTTCTCTTGGAATGATTACAAGTTATGGATTTGTCGAGTCATATGGTGAATGTATGTTTGATTTTTTTAAGAACTGCCAAACTGGTTTCCCGAGTGGCAGCTTCATTTCACATTTCAAGCTTAATGTCGGTGGTTTCCATTTCTGCACATCCTCCTCACCATCTTTGAGGATCACTGCCCTAGCAGGGTGAAGTGGTATCTTATTGCCGTTGTAATCTGTATTTTCCTAATGATCAGTGATGTTGAACCATATTTTCATGTGGTTATTGGCCATTTGTATATCTTCTCGGTGAGAGGCCTCAGATCTTTCTCCCGGGCTCTTGTCTTATTGAGCTGCAGAAATTGTTTCATGTATCAACTTACTCAGCTCACTGCCATCGAGTCGATTCCGACTCTTAGGGATCTTATCGGACAGAGTGGAACTGCCTCTGAGAGTTTCTGGGATTGCAAGCGTGTACAGTAGTAGAGATGCTTTCATCTTTTTCCTGTGGAGAGGCTTCTGGTTTTGAACTGCTGACTTTGCAGTTAGTAGCCCAAGACGTAAGCCTATCAGCCCTTTATCAACGCATAACGTGGAGATATCTTGTCCCAGTCTGTGGCTTATCTTGGTTTAATTAGTATAAGAAACTTTGGTGGTACGGTAGTTACCATGCCGACGCTCACTGAAACCCATAGAAGAAAAGCCCCGTGGCTCTGCTCCCATCCCGGGTATAGCATAAGCAAGCTTTGGGGCAGTTCTGTTCTATCCGAAAAATACTGCTGTGAGTTGGAATTGACTCAGTGACACACAGTTACAATCACAACAATGCAGTATGAAAGTTTTCCATTTTGATGTAGTATAATTTGTCTGTTTTTTCCAGTGTGGATCCTACTTTTGGTGTGTCTGTAAGAATTCTTTGCCTAGCCCATGGTCACAAACATTTGTGCTTAGGTGTCCTTTTACACATTTGATGGGTTTAGCTCTTACACAGAGGTGTGTGATTCATTTTGAAAGACTTTTGGGGCCTGCCATGTGGGGATATTCTGTTGTGCATAGGGTCCTTATGAGTTGGAACAACAACATGTGTTAAGCGTACATATTTATTTATTTTGGTATGTCAATGACCAATTGTCCCAGCACCAGCTTTTCAAAAAACTACCCATTCTCCACTGAACTGCCTTGGCAGTTCACTGTACTTTAGTTTTTCTGAATACGTTTGTTTTAGATTTTTCTCTTGTATGGAACATATAGTTGAATTTGGTTCTCTCAGTGAAACCAGAAATCTTTTAATTATTTTTAAAAATCTTTTTATTTTAATAAGTGAGTTAAGCCCATGCACACTTTTATTAAAACTATTGTTTTACTTCTGTCATGTTATATTAGTTTTTTGTAAATGATGCTACAATTGCCATATTTTTTTCCTTTCTGTGTTGTTTTCTCTGCTCTTTAGTACATTTTACTTCTTTACCTCATCTTCATTCACTTTTGTATAATGCCCCTTGCTAAGTTTTCATTCAATTCCATTTTTTCTTGAGGACCTTCTAAATGTTCAGTTTTGATGGGGGAGGGTGATGACCTTTTCTGGGGTCACTCAAATGAAACAGGAGTTTCATCTGGGGGCTCACTTCTGATCTTAGTATTTAGAGAAAAAATGTTTTCTCATATTCCTAAACAGGGTATTTAACTTAGTTTAGAGCATTGGTTCTCAACCTTCCTAATGCTGCGACCCTTTATTACAGTTCCTCGTGTTGTGGTGACCCCAACCATAAAATTATTCTTGTTGCTACTTCATAACTGTAATTTTGCTACTGTTATGAATTGTCATGTAAACATCTGATACAGGATGTATTTTCATTGTTACAGATTGAGCACAGTTAAAGCATAGTGATTAATCACAAAACAATATGCCATTATATATTGTGAAATATTTGTTTCTTATGACAAATAAATGAAATTTTGTGTTGAAGCATGATGGCGCATGGGTAACAATCTTCCCGCCAGGCATTCGTAGGTGGGCGTGTCTACGTGTGGGCGGACCTGCCTGGAGAGGGATAGAGGAGGGTGTCTCGGTTCCTAAGACCATCAGAAATAGGTGCTTTCCCAGGGTCTTAGGCGACCCCGTGAAAGGGTTGTTTGACTCCCGTAGGGGTAGCACGACTGTGAACCGCTGGTTTATATTTTAGTTCTTCCGCGTGAGGCACTGCAGCGGTGAGCAGGGGACACAGCACTAGGTTGGTGATCCTCCCCAGCTGATGCATTTTTGCTCTGTTCTCCTCTGTAGCTTTGGATAGCTGAAGAGTACTCTTGCCTGTGCCTGCTCAAGACTGGTCCTCTGGAGTGGTGTTACAAGAGTCCTCATTTCCAGCACCCTCTTCTGCCCTTGTGATGAAGTGCAGCTTTCACGAATGACTCACCTGGGATCTGGTGTACAGGGGAAGGGGTTGGCCTACACCATAGTTTCCCACACTGATTTGGCCTTCCACCCCCTTGTCAGAAAAAAACAGTACTTAGCACCCTCTAGCAATGAAA